CTTCCTTCACTCTCCTCTTGCCTACAGGGCCAAGCTGAAGTCTGCTAAGCCCTCTGTGAAGTCAATACTGCCCATCGTGACTTTTGATGAACACTCCCTCCTCTAGATTCTCACAGGGTCTGCTGCCCCATCCTCTGAGCGGTGCTCATCCTGAGCTCTCCATCGGGTCTTCTGTCCACTGCAAGCAAAACAGCCTGTATTTCTGGGGAAACCTCTGGTCCCCGGCTCAGCCTAGCTGAGTGGGCCACGTGATAACACACACCTGGGCCAGGCGAGCTGGCAGCAAGCACAGATGGCCTGTCAAATTGGAAGGGAAATTCATGAGTTGTTTATTCTCTTTTGGGGAGTCAACCCTGACTTAGGCAAAAAAAGGCCTGAAGGCTTCAGGAGCTGAAAGCTATTGTGGTCATTGGGGGCATTCTGTTTCGTGGCCTCTTTGCCTCACCATTTCCTTGGAAGAAACTTTGCTCATCGTTATTTATAAAATTAAATCTTATTTGTCACTAAAAGTGCACTGCAATGAAAGCCCTCAGTACTACTACTTACACAAACATAAATGCCCGTACAACTTTAAAACCATAAATACCACAAGGTACCAGCCTAGTAGCACAGGCTTCGAAGTCATACAGAGTCCCAGACCAGCACGCCCTCAGCCATTTACTGCCTGTTCAGCAGCACACACTACAGCTCTAACTTTTCTTCAGGGTCCTTATGCCTTTTAAACAAGTTTTAAGCAATTGTTTTTATTGTTTCAAATATCTTGGTCTGCGGCTAGGGGAGCAGTGGGCTGCAGCCCCACAGCCATTTCCTGAAAGAGAATGCGATTTGATTCCCAGAACACACCAGGCCTGAGGTGCTGCGTGTGTGTGTGTGTGTGCGTGTGTGTGTGTGTGACACCCATCTGCTCCTGCAACAGCATGTCCGGTGTCTGAATGCTGACTCCCTTCCCACCCACACACACGCACACCTTCTCACCCAGCAAGACAGCCCCTGCCCAGCCAGCACCCTCAAAGGCTAATTTTCCTGAATGAAGCTCCCAAAGGAATGAAAACAAGTGAGCTCACTGTGTAATTGCCTCTCACTCTGTCTACCACTTTCAAAACCAGGGATCTCACAGGCTCTATGCGCAGAGCTGAAGTTGATTTCACAATGCTTCATCTTTTACTCTCCTCAGGTACACGCAGGAGAAGTGAAATGGGAAATCTCCAAGTGTCAACCATTCCATTAACGTTCCCCCAGAAGGCAGTGAGAGATGTCTATACAAGCAGATCTGTCCTGCTTCAAGATCGCAAAAATCCAGGATGCCAAGACCTACATTTGCAAAATTTCTTGTTTGCCAAATGGGCACAAGGGGGTTAGAAAGGGCCTAGACACCACTTCTCTGGGCCTCAGCTCCTTTTCTCTAAAGCAGCGGTTCTCAACCTGTGGGTCGCGACCCCTTTGGGGGTCGAACGACCCTTTCACAGGGGTCGCCTAAGACCATCGGAAAACACATATATAATTACATATTGTTTTTGTGATGAATCACTATGCTTTAATTATGTTCAATTTGTAACAATGAAATTGGGGGTCACCACAACATGAGGAACTGTATTAAAGGGTCACGGCATTAGGAAGGTTGAGAACCACTGCTCTAAAGTGAAGAGGTTAGACAAGGGACCTGCAACATTGCTCTGAACTCTATACATGGTGATTCCACTTGTGTTGTTAGAGAGTCATTTTAATTATAAAAGTCTTCTCACTGCACATCTTCCTTAAATATTACAGATACACATACTGATTTGATTTTTTAAAAATAAGTCAGTCAATGCTATGTTTTAGGCACACTCCACTATATGAAGAGAGGTGTACACCATGCCGACCTCACTGTTTCTGAAGCGGTTACCATCTTTTTCACACAGATGGAAATGTTGACAGACGGGTTGTAGCAAACCCAGCGACCCCGCATTATTCTGAAATGAACTGGGTCCTGAGGTTTTCTGGCCCTACTGCTTTCTCTTTCGCCTGCCCGCCCATTTTTTGGCTACTTCCTGGTAAACAGCCAGGAGCAGGGAATTTAATCACCTACATTACCCTGACTGTTCCCTGGCATCCTAATTAGGTGACAAGAAAGGTGTGAAGCATATTCAATCTGATGAAAACTTCAGAAGTGAGGAAGAGAAGGCCCAAATATACGTAAGCTTACATAGCTGGGGTGTCAGGCAATACCAGGTTACTCCTGACACCCACTGTTGAGGAGACAGCAGGGCACACATCTCTAACTGGATTGTCCACTTTTAGCCCCTGTCAGCACACCTCACTCCAAGCCCAATGACCACATAAAAGGAAACATAATCACACCGAAGTCCAGTGTCTCGAGCTCGGCTGCACCCTTTATAGTATACATGACATCAAGGTCAGCAGCACCAAGTGTCATGCATTTCCTCGGAGCCGAACCACCGCATCACCTGCTGTCCTCTCCATTCCCTCTGCAATGCAAGGGCTGGGGAAGGGGAGGAGACTGGTACAGTGATGCTTAGCAGCGGTGCTATTACAGAAGCTGCCACCCCATGTGAGGTTAAAACAGCGAGGACACCACATGGTATGGCAGCTTCTATAAAACCACTGGGGTGTTTGATGACTGAAGAGGATATTCCTAAGTCACCACCATGGAACGACTGAACTTCTCTATGATATCCTGCCTGGTATTAGTTCCACTCTTTCTAGTGGAAGTCTCTACTTTCTCTGCTCCCTGGAGAGCCATAAGCCCTAGCAGGTTGGGGGATGCTGAGCATGAGGTCCCTGGAAGGTTCTGCAAGCCAGCCCGTTGACACAATGGGCTTGGGGGGTAACCTTCAGGCATACCTCTTTCCTGGCACTTGATTGACCTTAGTCATTTGAATGGCAAGCTGATTGATCAAAATGGGCTTCCGGAAAACCCATGAGGGAATTGGGGACTCAGTTACGACATACTCTGGTGAGACGGACTCAAGGTAACCTGGAGCCCACAGAAACTTCTGCAGAAGCACTGAGAACAGAGCAGCCTGTTAAAAGATGGTGAAACTGAGGAGCAGTTCAGGCTTTATGTTCAATTGAGAGTGCAAATATTGCTACAATTGAGAGTGCAAATGCCTGTTCATAGTCCCTGCCAATTAATGTATTATTAGGAGGTAGGATGAACCAACTGAGTGAACACACTGTGCTGAGAATCATGCACTGGTATACGTATACGCCTTCCAGATTTTAAAGAAGCTTGAAACTCCGTGGATGCTGCAAAGTCACCCAGTTGTGATAAAGTAACACACACATTAATTGAACCTTGTTTCACACCAGTGACCAGGGAAGTCTACACTCTCTGTCTCAAGCTGGCCACTGCCCCAGGAAGTGAGGCCCCTCTGGTCCCACAGGTGCTCCGGGCCCTCTCTGCAGCGGGCTCCAGGCACCTCCTAGCCAGTCCTGCTGGGCTCCTTGGTCTGAAGGGTGCACTCCAGACTCCCTGTCTGTGCCCTGAGCAGTAGAGAAAGAGGCAGGGATGGGCTATTCTCTTTCCCCTCCAAGACACCTGGTCTCTCCACTCCTGGCTTCTCAAACTGGGCCACAGAGAGCATCCTCCTGAGTGCCAAGCTACCCGAGGAGGGGAGGGCAGCTTCTGGACAGCACAGGAGCACCTCAGGCTTGATGTTCAGAAAGCCTTTGTTCTAATCCTGATTGCACGTTCACAGCTTTGTAGTTTTAGGCCCTGTTTTTAACCTCTCTGAACCTGTTTTCTTTTCTTTCTTTTTTTAAATATATTTTATTGACTTTTTAACAGAGAGGAAGGGAGACGGATAGAGAGTTAGAAACATCGATCAGAGAGAAACATCCATCAGCTGCCTCCTGCACACACCCTACTGGGGATGTGCCCGCAACCAAGGTACATGCCCTTAACCAGAATCGAACCTGGGACCCTTCAGTCCGCAGGCCGATGCTCCATCCACTGAGCCAAACCAGTTAGGGCTGAACCTCAGTTTTCTTAATTGTTATGTGTAATTAACAAAAGGGTTCTTATGTAAGTATTAAATGAGATAATATACACAATCAGATCCTTAGCACCATGTCTGGCACATGGAAGAGCTAAATACATTTTGGTTTCACAATTGTTTCTTCAGTCTTTAAGGCAATTGGAGATGCCAGCAAGCCACTCCGGCCCCTGACCCCAGAGATCAAAGGCGCATGCTTGTTTTCTCTCTGCCATTGACTGTATTATAGTGGGGACACTCTACATGGGCTTGTCCTCTAGGTTTGAAAGGCACTGTTCCTATAAAGTGAGGTTAGATGACTTATTACTCTAAAAGTTTCATCAGATCATATGATCTTTTAAATTAATTAATTAATTTGCTAATGCTTTATTAGGCCCTCCTATATGAGAGGCCCTAGGTCAAGCACCAGAGATTCAGAAAAAATAATACAAATCTTGCTGTCAGAAAGCTCATGATGAAATGGAGGCAAAGGTAAAGAAAACTAATAACCATAACAAATGAAACGTGGTGCAACTGAGGGGAGTACAGGGGGTTGGGGGAACTCTCTGAAAGAGCATCTACTCCAAAAGGGGTCCAGGTGGCCACAAGACCCCCCTGAGGAGCGGCAAGAGAGTGATCCCAACAAAGGAAACAGCATTTGTTGAGGGAACAAGGAAGGAAGTAAAAGGGCAACACTAGGGTTGGACGGAGCAGTCCGGTGGTGTGGTCGATATTTGTTGTTTTGGCGATCCACGTCCGACTCCCTTCCTTTTTCTGAGAAACCCTCATTTTGCAAGTGTTGGTAGGAGTCAGGCCTCTCTCCCACTACAAAAGCTGGAACCAGAAGTTCCCTCTCCCATGGCCAGCAAGGGGTAGGTACACAATCTAGCATTGATGAATCAGATGGTTTCTGCCTGGGATTTTTGAATGTTCAGGATGACCAAATTTCGGCCACATCCGAAGTCCCAGCAGTGACAGAACTGAAAAATACAGAGGAGGAAAAGGCCATGGTGAGTTCCTTACCAGGCAATTCTAGGGTATGTCCTCGCTGCGTCTCCTGATGTATTTTCAGAGGATGTGTGAACAACCTTTCTGTGGATGTGTGAACTACCCAATACACTCTGAATACATTTCTCCTGCTTATGATAGCAGGAATCAATTTCCATTTCTTGTATCCAAGAATCCTGATGACAAAGGTGGTTATTATCACCATCAGGGTACAAATGCTGAGGGCGAGAACCAAAGCAGAGATGGGGGAGATACGTTCAACAAATAATGAGGAGGTTGAAGAGTCAGGAAGAATCTGAGGATAAAGGACAGTATCAAGGACAACTTGCAGATGTGTAATCTGGAAGCCAAAGAGAGCAATGATCAGTGAAAATACAAAGGGAGGACCAGATTTATGGAGAGTAGGAAATGATGGGCTCAGTGTACACATACTGAATTTGAGGTGACTACATGACATTCAAAGCATCGTGCTTACCAGCTGCTGGGTGTACAGGTGGCTCTGGGGAGAGCCCAGGCTGGAGAGCAAGGAGATTAGAAATCAATAGGTGGAAAAGGGAAGGGAAATCGGGAGAGTGTTGTGTCAGAGGAACCAAGGAAGGAGTTGAGGGTTGCAGAGACATTGGCCTCCTAGTGTCCAATGCTGCAAAAAAAGATCAAGTATAAGACCAGGACAGAAATGTGAATGCTGATCATTGGTAATTTTAGCACCTGGGAAGTCACTGGTGATATTGGTGATTTCAGTGGAATGGTAGAAAAAAGATAGACTTCAATGGGTTGAAGGATGAACAAGAGTGAAAAAGTAGAAAACATGCAAAAGCTTCTTTCTTTTTAAAGGGTTCATTTTAAAGGAGAGAGGAATGTCTAAAATTGAACAAAATATTGAGTATTACCTTTTTTAAATGGAGGTCATTCATTCATTTTATAAAATACTAGTGGGAAAGGAAATTAATTAGAAGAAATATTTTAATATCGCTATTTGCCCTTTCTTTATAATAGAAGTGTCAACCAAATTCACAATTGGCAATGACAGATCAAAACACACACAAGTGTGATTGGCACCAGCGAGAGCTTTATATGTATCACGCACGCACGAGTCAACTTAGCCTTTTATAGATATAGAATAAACTTGCTTAAGTAGATGTGCTTTCTGATGTAGCTAAACTTTTTCCAGCCCAGTGAAGCACCCCAACTTCTCTTTCAGGTAATTGTCAGCAACACAGCAGTAAACATCAACACAAAGCAGATTATTATTGTAGATCATGCAGGGAGAACAAAGGGTAAAATATTTAACTGCAGCAGTGCTTGACTATATTCTGCGTAGTGACAAAACCTAAAGTCATTTTCAAGGTCCACCATTTCTTACTTCTTTTCAGTCTGGTCAAGTTTCTAATCTCGGTTTTCAGGCTAATTAAAAGAAAATACGATTCCACCAAGTCTCCTATCTACCTACTCTAGGACTTCTGTGAGGATCAAATGAGATAGGCATGGGAAAACACTTCACAGACATTTGGTTACAGTGTGAAATGTTTCCATCTGGCTATAAAGCAAGTCATGTTCCTGGGCTGAAGAATCTGCAAGGAGGCTAGTTGCTAGGGAAAGGAAACTGGGCATTGCTACGTGACGTCATTACTCGGATGGTCAGACACTTAGCATATTAGCCTTTTATATATATAGATTGAATGATCACCTCTTATTGGATATGTCTTGGATATACAATGAAGAATACAACAGACATGGTTTTGCCCTTAAGGGCTTATGGTTTAGAGAAGAGATGCTAAACAATGTGATGAGTGACCTTGAGGAAAAGAATAGGTGCTCCGAGAAAGGACAATTAGGGATCCTAATTTAGGTTGGAGATTCAGGAAAGGCCTCCAACCCGGGAATGATCAGGAAAAGGGGTCAGGTGGAGAGAAGGATATTTCAGGCAGAAAGAACAGCAAGTGCTGACACCCTGAAGTAGGGAGGTTGAGCACGTCTACACACAGAAGTGAAGGAGCCAGGGAAGACGTGCAGCAGACTGGTGCAGTGAGGAGCCTGAGGTGGAAGGAGTGGCCTTCTGCAGTGAGAATGACACACACCTGTTCCACAGACATCAGGAGGGTGGGTGTGGGTGGAGGTGAGCCTGTGGGTCTGGAAGCAGGAAGTTGAGGGAGTTGTCTAATGGCTACTGTTTTCTTTGTGAAATAGCAGGCCTGGTGAGGCATGCATGACTGGATGAGGTGGTGGTGGGAAATGCTATTATGGGCAATGGAGGAGGAGCCGAGCTCACTCACAGCTCAACGCTTACTCTTTTCCGAGTTCTCTCAAGGCTACCCCTCCTTAATAACGGCGTCCTCACTTTCTGGTACCAAAGCTTCAAAACCAGGGCGAAGGAGCCCTGGATCCCTGGATGCTTAGCACCAGAAAGACACTCAGAGATCTTAACTGCCATTCATTTTTCCTACTATCTAATTAATTTACTCAGCAGAAAGCAACTAAATGCCAAAAACATGGCCATCAACTTATCTCCTCAGGAAGCCCTCATCTGTTGGGTGGATACTGTTTGTATCTTTCCTTTTAATGGCTTCCCCTTTTTAATAAAGTGGGGTTTTCCTTCATATCTCTTGCTTTCTTATCATTGTATGTCTGAATATCTTAAATGTATTCAGCTTTCACTAAAGTGAGGCCTGAATTATTTTTCTCTGTTTAATACTCAAGCACAATTACATAATTATTTGTAAGCAGGCAAAATTAAATCAATTCTTTAAGAGGTGGCTATAGACTCAGGATGAAAGTTCAACACTCCTGGCATGGGATCAAGTACATTCTAAGCTACGATGGCTTAACAATATCCCCAGTCATTGCTACTACATTCACAAATATCTTGGCCTCCAAGGACCTCTGAATCTGACTTGGTATTCTTTTCAGATTCATCCCCAAACAAAGTATACTAGTTTTGCCCCTCGGTTCAGAATAATGACTTAAAAGTATCTCCCATTACAGCACGAAGGCATGAAGCATCTGAAGACAATCTTCTTGCAGTGAAGACATTGTGAAGAGCTTATGGTGATGTCACACTGCATGGGATACAGAAGTCCACAGGAGAGGGAGAAAAAAGCTAAGGAGAGGGGAAAGGAGTAATAAAGATAGAGAAGTGAGATGTTATCTACACAGCATAGCTCCTTTCATAGACATCTCAGTGGTGGGTCTAGATCCCAGCCAATAACCAGCCTTTTGAGAGCTGCCCGGGACACATGAAAGCGCGCGCGCGCACACACACACTCACACTCACACTCACACACACACACACACACACACTCACACACACACACACACACACACACACACACAGTCACTCACCCTTTACCTCCTGGCAGAAGCTGCAATAATTTCATCTGTTAATAAAGTATGTGATCAATCTCCCTCAAGAGTTATTCCATATTCTACCCTAACTGCCATCAATTTAAAACTCTAGCACCTCATATTCTTTTACAAGAAACATTCTGGGCTTTCTCTAAGTAGCATGGAGGCCAGATAATTTGCCGCAGATCTGTGGAATGAAAATGATGACACGTGGAGGTGAGGTGAGAAGGGGGGCCATCAGGGACCTCTTTACACTCACTTTCAGGGTTACAACCAGAGAGCTGGGCAGGAGGAAAGAATGTGGGCACTGCCAGAGAAATATGTAAGGTACTTCGGGATACTGTCTTTCTACTTTCTCCCCTCTCCCTTTTTACCCAAAAGAAAGGAAAACCATGCCCGGGAGAAAACACCGACTTAAATGCTACTTGTCATTGAGACAGAAGTTCACCATTGGATTCTCTCAGCCCATTTCCTCTTCGCCTTCCTTCAACTACGTTTGCCTTACTAGAGACTGCTGCTAATGAGACAGAAAAGAGAAGTACCCATCAGCACACAGCTCCATCAGGACGCAGGTCACAGCAAGGAAACGGTAATCCCCCAAGCTCCACATCAAGCTCAAAAGCAATGCTCCTGGCTGTCATTTTCATTCGCACCAGCCCCGCATTTCTATTAAAGGAGCCTCTTTTTAATGGACTACTTCCCTCTATGGCATAAGAAGGTAAAACGTCGGCCCGCAGAGACGATATTACGAAACACGGAGCTTTTACTTTGGTAGAACCAGTAAGAGACCGGAGAGGACAACTTCCAAGGGCTCTCCTAGGGCTTCTCGGGCTCCCGGGGCTGCTGTGATTGACTTAACATGTACCAGTTGGCCAAGAGGCTACTTGCAAAGAAAAGGAATTTCACAATCGTGAACATTCTGCGCCCTCACGCTCATTTTCCCCAGCCATCCCCACTCCCACCCCCGCGTACAAGAGGACTTTTGTAGACATAAAGTTTCAGGAAACAAAGCATACAAACACTCACACACAAATAAACTCCCCGAACTAACACGAGCGTATAATTGTGTTTTGGTTGGAGCTTGTCCAGCCTTGTCACCCGTTCTCTGTTAGGAGTAAATGAAACCCCGGCTTTGGCAAAGTTAGAAACAGACAGACTCTCCTCAGTTTCACGCTGCACAAGGCTCCAGTCATATCTCTCAGCCCCTTCAGCCCCCAACAGAATGAACTCGCTGCTGAAAAAGCCAGCAAGGGGGAAAAAAAAACCACCCGATTCCCCGAATAAAGAGCTTTCACTTCTCCCCCTCCCTCAGCTTCCCCTTTTAGCCTGGAACACAGGGCGTTTCTAAGTTCTGAAACCCTTTTCAAGAGACCCTCGACTTTGAGGGCTCTTCCAGGGGACGGGCTAGGGTCTGTCCTGATGCAGGCGGTGCTTTTCCGAGCACATTGTGTATTCTTGGAGGCAATACCGGGCCGCTCCGTTTCCAGAGAAATCTACAAGGCAGCCTTCAGTGGGCTGCCTGGGAGCTGGGTCCCGCTCTGCCTCCCATCGCTCCGAAGGGCGGCTGGATGGGGAGGGCACAGCCTTAGGCACAGGCAGCTCTAACAGGGCCGGGAAGGCGCAGGGAAAGGAACAAAGTACCCACCGCGCCCCGCACGGCTCCCATCTGCTCCCCTAGGCGCCCTCCCTCCACATTCCTCCGCCAGACTTGGCCGGCCCCCGAGAAATCAGAATCATACCTTCCTTGGCTTCCTCGGCTTCGGAGTGCATGGTGCCCGGGTCACCGCGGCAGGGCGGCCACCTCTGAAACTGCACTCGGACCGGCCGCAAGTTCGCTTCGATGCCAACCCCCAACACGACGCAAAATAAAAGGAAG